TCCAGGGAGCGCCCTGCATAAGTAGCTAACGCCAGGATAATCTCAGTTCGCATTTCGCACAGCTCAACACAAGTGGCTTTGGCACTTTGAGAATTCTCAAAAGCAAGATCTCGACCTGGCCCACCCGTCGACTGCCAACCATCTACGATGAGCCGCTCCACGACCAAGGACGACAAGGAGCGGTACCTTACGTACTCGATTACAGAACGCCCTGCGAACAAAGAAACTGAAGTGCAAGAAGAAGTCGTGACGAAGAAGATGGCCAAGTTCATCGAAGGTGCTCCGAAGGACTTCCTGGATTGGGTCTACCACTTCGACCAGCTCGCCAAGCTCAAGAGTTGGAATCCTGAAGACAAAATTCTCAACACCAAGATCCTCCTGGAAGGAGACTTGCTGGAGGCGTTCGAAGATGCAGAAGAAGGAGAAGACGGCGACATCCGAATGGACGAAGAGTTTACCAGCACGCTATACAAGGCATCCAAGGTTGTGCTGCCTGTCGACTACAACGAAAAGATACAAGAAGAACTATGGGAAATTCGCAAGACCCGAGCTGAATCGCTCGCGGACTACAGCAAACGATTCCGTGCTCTCGTGCGTCAAGAACACACCCTCGCCGATCTCAGTCAAACCTCCAAGATGTGCGACGACGCACTGTGTCGCTTATTCAAGCGTGGCCTTCCGTACGACTGGCAGAACAAGTGCGATGCCAGTGGCCAAGTGTACACCACCATCGGTGCCTTGGTCCCGTTCTTTGAGCGCATTGAACAAAGAGAGCAGCGGCTGCACCGCCATGACTCTCAGAATGCCAGCCGTCAGCAGAACGGAGGCAACAATGCCGGCCGTCGTGGCAACGGCAACAGACGAAACAATCGCCAGCAACCTCGTGGTGGCAATCGTGGTCGCGATGGACGCGGCAACGGCAATAACCCCGGCAACAACAGTGGCAATAATTCCCACAGCAGCGGCAACAAAAATTCGGGAGGCAACAAGTACTGCACCTTTCATCGTACAACAACTCATAATACGGCCGACTGCCGCGCGCTTCGCCATGACAACAACCAGCAGGAAGAAAACCACCAAGCTGACCCACGGAGTGCCTCACAGCGCCCGCCAACTCGAACGGAACAGCGGCGCTCAGGAGTAGGAAGCTCCAGCGATGACGAGTATTTGTTTGTGGGTATCAACGACACGCATGTTGACGAACAACCGATGCGCGTGATGATTAAACTGGAATCCGGAAAAGATCGATTTCAAGCACTACTTGACAGCGGCTGCTCGCGTAGTATTATCAGCACAGCTTTCATGCAGAAGCTGCACGCAGCAGGGTCGGCGCTGGAAAGCACCGCAGTGGGCTTCAAGTTATTCCAGGGAAGCGCTTCTAGTGAAGGCGCCATGACGGTTCGCTTCCGTATCCCTCAGCTCAAACGTGATACAGTGATAATTCACAAGTTCGAGGTGCTATCATCGCTACCAGACGACATGACCATCGGCCGCGATTTAATGAGCGCCCTCGGTCTAGTAATCGACTTCAAGAACGGACGAATCAATTGGGACGGCAGTGAGCTCGTTGTCCGCACGACTGAC